CATGCGCTCATGAGAGAGAAAGTTGCCAGGTCCAGGGCCCAAACTACGGCTGACCATGTGGGAGTTCAGCGCATGCCATCTGCCAGCCTCAGTCAACAAGATTCTTATCAACAGGCAAAGAAATGCTTCTACGAAGAATACTAAGATATTAAAATAGTGACAAAAAGAAAAACATTTCTTCTACTTCTTGTTAGGGTTGGATCCTTCAGACACCTAAAATGAGACTGGGGCCCTGAAATTTAGGATTTACAGCTGTTGTGAAAACAGTAACCAACCAAATAGGATCTGGCTCACAAAGATGATAATCAATGGCCATTTTCTTCTCAGTTAAACAGAGACTTATTTAAATGTCCCTAGCTGAAAAGCAGAAATCCCTCCATTTTTCCTTTCATCATCTTTCAAACGGGTCTCCTTTTATGGGTTCTTGGTATCCAGAACTTACACAGGTACTTAACTCACGACCAGATTTCCGCAACCTTCAAGCGTGGGACTCCTGGCTTCCCTCCCTGTCACTCCTTATACATAGGGAAGACCCTCATCAACAAGAAACCTTCCAAGGCTTCTCGAAGATGAGATCGTACTTACTGGGTTTTGCCTATCCAGCTCCGATTCTACCTTATTTCCTGTCACGTCACAGTCTAGACCTTTATTCTAGTCCTCTTATCTCAAAGACAACAAGCTCCATTTGCCCCACCCCCTGCCTTGAACCAGCTCACAAGGTCCAGTTCAGGTCACATCTCTTGCGCTCACCCTTCTCTGCCCTCAGCGCTCACCAGCCTCCTGAACCACTCTAGGGGTGAGTGAGCAACACTGTTCTAGCTTTCCGTCAAGTATCCACCCACTTCTTTATTATCATTATTTATTTACTTTTTTTTTTGGTAGAGAAATTTTTGCTATAGGGCGCATGCACCCGCCGGAGAGACACACAGAAAGACAGAAAGTGAAAATATCACCCCCTGGGGGCATGGCTAGGCCGCAATCCCTTCTCCTCCAGTCTCCTCTCAGGATCTTGTCCACCCACGCACATGTGCGACATGAGTGTTAAGCAGCCAGGTCTGGGACTCAAACCGCAGTTGACTACATGGGAGTCCAGCGCCGTTACCATTATGCCATCCACTGGTCCCAAGTATCCTCCACTTCTAAGAATTCATGATCTTGGATAGATCATTTAACCTCTATAAGCCATTTCCTAGTCTGTAAAATGGGAAGTCTGTTAAGGGACTTTAAAAGATCTTTTCTTGTTCTAAAAATCTTGTAATTTTACATACTGCCTCCTATGGTTTCACGTGTTGTCTCATTTCTCTTATTTGATTTTAGAGCTCTGAAAAGAGAAAGTACATCTTATATTTCTCCTTGACTCTCACAGCAACGTGGCCCAGGATCCGGCTCAGAGTCACTCAGTAAGTGTGACACTGAAACAGGTCAAGCAGCACTGCGAGGAAGGTGGGCCAAAGATCTGACTGTGAACTCCAGGCCTATTCTGAGGTCGTTTAGGAAACGGTAAAAGTAGTTCATGCAGAGTCAACCTCCACGTCTAGATGATCCCAGGCTGGATCTCTTCTAGAGAAGAAGCAAGCAGGACGCTGGCTCTAGAACAGAATGAGCAGAGCCCAAATGGTCTCTTAAGTCCTATGCAATAGTATCTGAAGCATGTGCACATGAGCCCCTAGATGGCAGCTGCAACTCCTAGGTGCATTATGCCGTCCAGGGTGTGATTATTCAGGGGTCTTGTCGGTGGAGAAGCTCTGGTACTATCTCAAGCCTGTCCTAACACAGTGTGGGAATGTAAATCCATTTCTGCCGGCAGGGCCCAAAACCTCAAGAGAAGTGCAATTCCTTCCATGTTTAAGCCCAGGTATCCTTCTCTCCCCTCCCCAAGGAAACAAGAGCTTTTATAAAGCATTCAGTTCTTTAATGTATTTGGAGGCCTTCTAGGCTTCCAGTAAAATGTTTTTATTTTCCTCTTTTCACAGTGTAGTAATGGGTCACTGAAGTAAGGAGGGGGTCTGCTGGAAGACAGGAGTCAATGTTAACTAGAAGTTGGGGCTGGCAGGGGGTGTAGTGGTTACCTGACAGCCTGCTTTCTCATTTTCTGTCTCTCTCTGTGCCTCTCTGGTCAAATGAAAACAAATAAGTAAATAAATAAAGTTAAATAAAATATTTTTTTTTAAAAAAGCAAAAACACTTGCTAGAAGTTAACCAGGAACTCCAAGACAGAGGACATGCCCTTCTGAACTCTGGTCAGAGTACAGGGCTAAAGCCCCTTTCTACCTCATTATCTTGAAAGGAAATGTATCCAGTACCCACAGACACCTGTCTCTCTTTATCAAGAGAGGGCACATATGTCCTTACTCCAGTCAAAGTCCGACTAGTCCATGCTAATCCCAGCCTTTTCTAAATTTGTTTTGGGTTACAACTAGCATCCTAAAGGGTTATCAAATCAAATCAAAAAACACTCAAAAGAATGCAGTTTATTCTTAAACAGTCAAATTAGGAAAACTGTATGTGTGTGTTTTAACTAACATTTCTTAAGACAAAGCACATCCCTCCTCTTCACTCAGCTGTTGAGTTATGAGACAAAGGGCAACTACCGTAACGTCACTGGTTTTTTTTTTTTTTTTTTTGGAATACAGCCATAAGATTACTAACAAACAGCTAATGGCCACTGTTCAAAAGCAATAATGGCATTATGACTTCATATCCCAGTTATCTACCAAAATGGAAAGAACCAAATGTATGTATTTTTCTCTTTCCCGAAAGAAAATCTGAAAATGTGAGCACTGTTTTACTTTCTTCCCCATCTAAAAAGTTCTGGGGGAATGTGAGACAGTACATATCACCATTCCTGGTTAGGGAATAAGAGCATTTTACACTTGTTCAGGAGCTGACCAGTTTAGGGACCAGCAGTTGGCGTAATGGCTATGTCGCTGGACTCCCATGTATGTAGTCGACCAGGGTTTAAGTCCCACACCCGGTGGCTTAAATTCACGCCAGACGCATGTGCATGCGTGCCCAAGATCCCAAGAGGCGAATGGAGGAGAAGAGATTGCAGTGAGTGTGGCCATCCCTGGCAGGGGTGGGGGGGATTTTTTCCCTATAGGAAAAACCTCTTAAAAAAAAAAAAAAAAAGAGCTGACAAGTTTATTCTGAAGAATTTAGAAAATGTTCCTGCTCTAGGTCCATGGCATACTTCAGAGACTATAATCTGGTTAAGTTCTTGCTGAAAAATCTTCAAAAAAAAAAAAGTAAAGACTTCAAGAGCCAGCCTGAGGTGTAGTGCAGAACGCCTGGATCCCCATGGCTGACTGCCCAGTTCAAGCCTTGGACCCTATGGCTTGGAAAATGCCAGATACAGGCGCAAGCGTGTGTGTGCCCAACACCTGAGAAGAGATCGGAGGTGAAGGGATTGTGATGTGGCCATCTCTCCCCCAACTTCTGCCAAGGGCATATGCCCTGTGGCAAATTAAAAAGAGAGAGAGAAGGAAAGACCTCAAACCTCTAGTTTTAATTTGTTGCTTTACAAACTTAGGGAAAAATTTGAACTATCAGCCTTGCAGGTTCAGTGTCTAGTACAGGTTCCATGCCTAGAATATGAACAAACCCACGTTAGTGTTAAAAAAAAATAATAAAAATGTCCAAACGGGTTTCAGCACGGGTAACAGAGGTGGGTACTTCCATGGTCAGCTTTATTTTACGATCATGGTAGGTTACCTCCCGAACACAGCTATCACCTACAGAAACTTGGGCGCGTCCTCTGTCTGCCAGTGGCAGAGGACTTCAGGGGTCTCGGTTACCACTGCTGATTTCTAGCTCTCTAAGAGAGAAACAGAAGACACGTCTCTCTAAAACCTACAGCTGATTCTGTCCGCTTTTTGACACTTCAGTGCTCATCCTGAGAATACCCTCAAAAAGTTTGGTGTCAGAGACAGTTTCGAAAATAGAGGTCTGTGTAACTTAAAAAACACATCTTCTAGAAAAGATCCTATTTCTACATTTCTACTTTCTCTTCATAAAATTCTAAGATTTTTCATCCAGAGGTAGTAAGCAAATGTGTGGCAAATTCCAACAGGACTAAAGCTCAAGGGAAAACGTTAAAACTCGAGACAGAGAGAACACTCCGATATTAAGCTCAAGATTTTTCCTCAGCGTCAACACACTCTTCGATAACACCCACCCTTGTAAAAATAAACTGTACATCCAAAAGGGCAAACTGCTCCAGTCAACTGGGTAAACAACATAATTAACACGTGCCAGGTGGAGAGCGAATCCTCGTGTAAATAGTGGGGCTCAAAATAAGCTGCAAACTGTAAAGAAGCTTATTTTTAAACTGTCAGCAGGTTTCCTTTGTGCAATTAGGAGTTTAATATGGGGTAATTGCTTCTCAAGTTTCTTTTAAAGAAAATCAAAATCTGACTTGTACAACAGCAAGTCTAACCTTATTCTCGAGCCTCCATTTGTTTCTTCACAAAGACTGAAAATACACCGAGGCTCTCTAATGAGTTCTGGCATATACTTCCAACCACCACTCTCAACCAGGAAAATTAATTTCTAACCTACCAGGATCCCCCAGAACGCAAAATACTTAGACTATGTACAATACGGCTAATGGAATATTTTTACATAAATATTTCAACTTCAGGTTTTTTAAAAAGTCCTCTACTTTCTTAAAATAAAACTCTACAAGGTAAATCAATCTACTCATGCTCCCTCCCGCAATCACATCACTCTGCCTCTACTTGAAATTTTACCAGTACCAACACACAGGGCTACTTGAGGCATTCACACAAAGGCAGTTAAAGACTGCGGATCTCACCAACTCTCAAGCCAAACTGAATATTCTGCTCGGCACCTACCTCCAGCTATCCAGATCAAACGTGATGGTAAGTGTTCAAAGTGTGCAATGAGGAAAGAACCACCGCAGCTTCTTTGTGTGTTATCAAAGTGAAAGGTGGCAGACCAAGGAGAGCCATCTCAGCGCAGGGCTCAGCATCGACACTTACCTTGAGGATGTCCCCCCTTTTGAAGCTCAGCTCATCGTCTGCAGTGGCTTTGAAGTCATATTTGGCGATGGCTTCCATTCTGAGCGCTGCTCAGTGCTCAGCAGCTTGAAGCAGGGCAGAAGGGAGTCTTCCCTGCTGAAGCAACCCAGAGCTCTGGGCTCAGCCTCGCCTCTCTTCCGAGACGACGCGCTCCTGCGCTCTGGGACACACAATGCCACCCTGAATCAGAAGAGGGACAATTAAGTGAAGTGGCCAGAATCGAAGCACCCCCGCCCTGCCAATCGGCCTGCTGTCCCAGCCCCCACGCCCCCTGGCTCGGCCTGGCTCAGCCCTCCTCCCTCCCCTCCAGGCACCAGCCTAGCTCTCCTTCCTCTTTCCAGCCTCAGCCCCCAGGCGACTGACAGGCCCGCCGGCCAATGGCGGGAGCTGCTTGAGCTATTCCAGAACACACTTCCTCTTCCTTCCCGCTGGGTGTGCGCGCGGTGTGCAGGAACCGGCTGGAGTCCCAATTCAGTCTCCGCCTTTCCTCCCTCGCCCCTCATGCTCTCTTTGGGTACCAAAAGCACCCCACTTGAGAGAAAGCCTCACCCTGGGGATGGCACCTGACTCTGGTTTAACAGACCTATCTCCGTCCCTCCTCTCTGCCAGCCTTCCTGGTTTCCTGGGAATGATGGCTACTCTACCACCAAAAGCCAGCCATGCAGACTCTGGCCTTGGCTTTCCTCTTTTCTCAAAAAGAGAACAAAACCCAAAAAAGCCTAGGTCAGCTCCCCAAACAGCAAGAGAAAGCGAACCTAGGAACTGCCTTTTCATTCCACTTACTACCATGAGCACGAGGCGCTCTCCCCTACCACACTTCCTGGCCGTTTGCCATCAGCAGCTCTGGTACCCAGAGAACACAGGTATTAGCTCGGAGCTTTTTCCCGGTAGGGGCGATGCTCTTGTATAAGACTCCCTCTTCCCAGAAGATCCCCCAGACTTTGGGGCCCCCCACTAATGCTTGAAATAGATGACCAAGGTTCACCATTCCAGAAATAGTTTCTGCATTATTTCTAACTAGGCTAAAGCAGAGCTGAAGTCCTAACCTGCACCCCAAAGGAGTCCCTTCTTCAGAAGCTGAGCTGCCAAGTAAGCACCTTGTCTGAACAGGACAGGGATGCCAGAAGGTCAAACAGAAGTCCCTCACAGTTACTCTGGACGCAGCTGCTGCTCTCACTACACTGAGGCAAACTGCACTCTGCAGTAAGACAGTTCTTAGAACCCTCAGGTGGTGATCAAGTGATGGCGAGCCAGGGACAGTGCAACCCCTGCTGCAGTTCAAAGTCTCCAGCCAGAAACTGGGGCACTACCTCAGCCTTTGCACAGCTAAAGGAAAATAAAGCCTCATTCTCCTTTGCTCAGTCACCATGTTCATACCTGCTAAACAAAAGCAGACAACACAGCATGAGCAGAAGGGGCAGATTATTTGCGGTGACACCTCTCTTGAATAATTACCACCTAACAGCTCACTTGAGGGGCACAAATGATTATTATTCTTTTGTTCGAAAGTTAACAATTGGGGCATTAATCATGCATAGCTGCAAATGGACTTCTCACAAAACCAGCTGGGAATATTCCTGTTACACCAAGATGAGTATTATCAAGGAGGAGAGAAACCACCTAGTAATTAAAAAAAAAAAAGTCCTCCAAAGTCTGAAAGCCAAACATTCTGCTGCAGGTAATAAACCAAGTCAGTGTTCATCTTTTCTGACCATACCTCAGATACCCGCTGTGGCGCTGGCTGAAATGGAGGAAAGCCAAGGAAGAGCACCAGCAAACACAAAACTATAATGACTGGGACCAGCAGGTGGTGCAGTGGTAAAGGTGCTGGACTCCCACATGGCTGAACGCAGTTCAAGCCCTGGACCTGGTGGCTTGAAAATCATACTGGGTGCATGTGCATATGCGTATTCCCAAAACCCAAGAGAAGAATGGAGAAGAGGAGATTGTGGCATTGCAATTTCCCACTGAGGGTGATTTCTCACTTCCCCTCTCCCTGTCTCTCTCTAGCATTCCGTGGCAAAACCTTAAACACACATACACAATGACTAGTCTAAGAGGATTTTTGTGTATCCTCAGTTGTCCTTTACTTAGTCTCTATGTAGTTATTTTATTTATTAATCAACTATGTAGATAACTTTAAAAGTCAAAGTGTCATAAAGGGTTATGAAAAAGACTAGTTCCCTACCCATACCCATAAGCAACCACTCTCAATGTTGTTTTTAGCTTTCTCTTTGGATATACTTAACAGTATTTCCAAATAATACGCTTGTACTGCTGTTCTCAGTTTACTCCCATTATCTACAGCCAGGAAGGTGAGGACTTAGCTGTCCCGCCCAAGCTGAACCCATGCCCTCATTCCAGTAATATCACGTATTCTGATTTAATCATAGTGTGACATCATGAAACAGTGCTGACTGATGATTTAATGACCAATCTTCCTTTTTTGTATAATCCTACAATTTTGGCTGTCATTAAGAACTGCTTTAAAAAAAAAAAAAAAAAAAACTTGCCTTTCTTTTTTTTTTTTTTCGTTTTTGAGAGATTTTTTGCTATGAGGTGGGTGTGGTCGCCAGACAGAGACAGAGAGATTGGAAGTGAGAAATCACCCCCAGGGGGATGACCATGCACAATCCCTTCTCTTCCAGTCTCCTCTTGGGATCTTGGGCACTCTTGCATATGTGCCAGGCATGATTTTCAAGCCATTGGGTCTGGGACTCAAACCCCATCAGCCATGTGGGAGTCCAGCAATGTAACCACTATGCCATCTGCTGCCCCCCCAGGGTGTTTTTCAAGCTGGTGGGTCCGTGACTGGAACCGTGGAGTTGGCCAGATTGGATCTAGAGCCTTAATCACCATGCTGGCCCAAGTCTACTTTTTCTAGGCTTACTTACTTCTTCCATAGGAGAGACAGGCAGGCACCCCAAAAAGGGCCTTCATACTGACAATTCAATAGCTAAACATGAATTCTGGACCCCATGTGGGTTAAGTTGTGTACACCTGGCCGCAAAGCTATTTATTTCAATAGTCTCTAGGTCTTGTTGAGACTATGAATCAATGATAGGGGGCTGAAGGATAGTGAATAGATTTAAAACTATAAGAAGTTTCATTTTTGAAAAACAAATCACAGGCTAACAGGTGGCATGGTGGTTAAGGGTGCTGGACTCCCATATGGCCGACTACAGTTCAAGTCCCAGACTTAGCTTGCTTTCTCACTTTTTCTCTCGCGCGCGTGTGCGTGCACACGTGCATTCTGTCCCTCTCTGGTCAAATTAAAAATAAGAAATAAAGGAACCAGCAGTTAGTGTAATGTCTATGTCACTGGACTCCCATGTAGTCGACCACAGTTCGCGTCCTGGACCCGGTGACTTAAAACTCACGCCCGGTGCGTGTGCATGCGTGCCCAAGATCCCGAGAGGAGAATGGAGGAGGAGAAGGGATTGCGGCGTGACCATCCTCCCTTGGGGATGATTTCTCACTTTCTATCTCTCTGTCTCTCTCTCTGTCTGGTGAGTGCACGTGCCCTATAGCAAAAACCTCTCAACAAAAATAATAAAATAAAAAATAAATAAATAAAGTTAAATAAAATAATTCTGATGGAAACCCAAAACACTTTATTGTCAAGGCACTATGTAGCAACAGCATAAACTTCTATGCCATAAGACAACTGTTCTACAATCCAAGCAATAGCTTCAAATCAGGATGTTTTTTGTTTTGTTTTGTTTTGAACTTGCTAGAGGAGAGAGACATAGAGAGAAAGTGAGAAAGCACACTGCCGGGGGGGTGGGGGTGGGGGGGGGCACATAGCAATCCCTTCTCTAGTCTCTTGCGGTTTAGGGCAGGCACGCACACGTGCCTGACATGTTTTTCAAGTCACCAGAACCAGGACTCTAACTCTGCAACTGGGACTCGCCACTTAATCACCATGCCACTGGCTGGCTCCGCAGGACAGGTCTCGACACCTGCTTTCGTGCTCCCAGGAAAACACCTGCCACAGGTTCCTCAGAGAACACTTAAAAAAAAAAAAAAACTAAAAACTTGTGTCTCAAGTAATTATGTTCCATGAGCTACACTTTGATAGAAAATTAAATCAATACTTCTGTGACTGTGCAAAAAAAAAAAAAAAAAAAATTAGCATCTCATAGAGAAAACCTAAAGAGGTCAGCTTCATTTTTTTTTTTTTGGAGAGGTTTTTGCATAGGGCGCATGAGCTGGCCAGAAAAATCACCCCCCAGGGGGGATGGCCATGCCACAATCCCTTCACCTCCATTCTCCTCTCGGGATCTTGGGCACGCATGCACACACGCCCAGTGTGAGTTTAAGCCACTGGGTCCAGGACTCGAACCACAGTCGACTACATGGGAGTCCAGCGACATAGCCATTACGTCAACTGCTGGTCCTGAGGTCAGCTTCTCAGGCTATCCACAGAAAAGAACAGGTGGGTAAAGGAATTCAAAGGGTACGTTTAATTAAAGAGAGGAAAAAATCCTATCATGTACACAATGCTAATCACTCAAAGGAAGAAACGTGAGGGCTGACACAATATAATGACTTTAACAGAGTGGATGCTGCTGTGTGTTTCCTAAGGGCAGGGAAGTGGCGCGCTGAGTACCTCCGAACTGTTACCAGCACACAGCTCTGCAGACCATCACAAGCTGTGACTTTTTTTCTTTTTTTTTTTTTTGGAGAGGTTTTTGTAGGGTGTGTGTGTTTGCTAGACAAACAGAGAGAGACAGAGAGATAGAAAGCAAGAAATCACCCCCCAGGGGGGATGGCCACGTCACAATCCCTTCTCCTCCATTCTCCTCTCAGGACCTTGGGCACGCGGGCACACACACAGGCGCCCAGCATGAGTTTAAGCCACCGGGTCCGGGACTTGAACCGTGGTCGACTAAGTGGGAGTCCAGGGACATAGTCACTATGCTAACTGCTGGTCCCACAAGCAGTGAATTTCAAAAGGGCAGGTATAGCTTTAATTACTCATTTTTACCAATATGCATTGAATCCAAAAATGGAGACTTACCTCACTGAAATACTAGCACAAAAAACAGCATGTGAAATATATTTATCTGATCAATATCCATGAACTTATCTGTGGAATATCTAAGTATCAAGCTATGCTACTTAATCTATTACTTTTTTATTATTATTTTAAATTTGCTATAGGGTACATGGACTCA